TGATTTAAAAGAGCAATGTGTTATAGTAGAAGACTGTGTGTGTGTGTGTGTGTGTGCAGGCAGGTGCACCCACATGTATGGGCTACTAGAAATTGAATCCAGGTTCTCATGACTTGCTAAGCGAGTGCTGTATCACTGAGCTATAGCTCCAGACCTTTTTATTTTTTGAGACAAGGTCTTGCTCAGTTGTCCAGTCTTGCCTTCAATTCGTGATCCTTCTGCCTCAACCTCTTAAGTAGCAGGGATTGTAGTTATGCACCTCTGTGCCCAAGTAGAAGGCTGCTAGTAAAGCTGTAAGCCAGGGATGGTGAACCTGTGCCCAAACTGCAACCCAAACCCCACTTACTTATCACAACGTGCCAACACTGCAATTAAGCCAGAATACTGAGGTTTTAGTTTAGAAGAAACAACTCATACGTTAAAAGTGAAACACAGTAGCAGCGATTTCAGTGATACAAACAGCCTGCTATGACATGCGTGTCATAGGCTCGCCTCCACTGTTCTAAGCAGCAGCCCTGTCCCATCGGATAAATGGCTGCCTGTCTTCTTAACATCTCCTGTACTACCATATCGAGTGCTTTGTTTTATTTTTATTTTTTTTGCCTTACTGCTAACACTTGTTAAACATGATAATCATCCTGAAGTTCTTTTTAGTGGAAAAAAAATGATAGAAACAGAAACATATCTTTTCTAATAATAGACTCTTTCTGGCAGCCATGAAAGGGCACAGTGATGCAGCCTTCATTTTAGTAAGACTTGAAGGTCTTGCTAATTTTTTATTTTTGAATAAAATTATAATTAAAATTATAATTTAGCTTTTCTTATATATATATCATTTTTGAAATATATTTGTAATAATCCATATTTCTGGATATTTTAGGTGAGGAACATCTATTAAGCTTTATCTAAAAGGTAAAGAATTGTACCAAAGAGGTTGACTTGTGAAGTGTGGGAAAATTGCCCTGATTATTTTAATTCTTGACATAGGTGGTGGTTAAATAGTAGGTTGCTTTGTAATTATTTGTTAAGAAGTTTGTATATGTGTTCTTTTCTGTATGTCTGTTAAAAATTTACCTTGAAAAAGGCATGGGGGGAACAATTTCTCCAACCTCAAAATGTCTCCTAGTGTGGTACTTGGAGCTCCATTGTTCCTGGATAATTGTTTTAGTTCATATTGGGACTCTCTTCACCACTGTAAAGACGAACTATTCTGTGGCTCACAATGCATGAAAACATGAGTCTTTTAGTTGGGTGGGTTTGTCTGATCACTATTCTCCAGAGCGTAGGAGCCTGAACTAACGTAAAAGGAATGATTTCAGAAGGTGGCATTGTATAGGAAGAAAAACTTAAGGAAATAGAATTGAAAACATGGAAAAGTCCATAGACCTGAATAATGTAAAACCTAATTTCTCACCTTTCCAGATTTCAGTAATCAAATATCCTAACTTTCCTGAATTGATTGGCTTTCTCCTCAGATGGTATGGCAAATATCTCACTAATTTAAGTCAGTTAGGAAGGTGGTTAAAATATAGTATGCTAAAAGTGAATTTATTACTGTTAAGCTCTTATTTAGTGACATAAAGAAGGCTCATAAATATTGACTTGTTAGGGCTGTTTAAAGTTAGCATATGAAATTATATGAATCGATAGTATAGAAACATACCCAAGAAGTTAAAGCTTTTTAGGGTTTTTCCCCATTGCGATCTGCTTTTCTTAGTAAAGCCTTAAAAAACCCAGTCTTGTCTAAGTAACATAGTTATGGAGCAGGACAATACATATAAACAGATTTCAGAATCTGTATAAGCAGACTGTACATGGAAGTGGTGAGTATGGTTCACAGTATCGAATGTAGAGAGGACCAGGAATTAGATTGTGTTACTGACAATACTTGGTCTCATTTGTGCTGTATTTGAGAGCTGTATGGCTGTTATATAGTAAATTAGTCCTGAAAGTTACACAGTATATTGTCAGAGTCTGGCTGTACTGTTTTCGAGTGTCTGTGTGAGAGCGTGTATGATTCTTTCTTGTTTTTCTTTTCTTCTGAAATTCTTTTGGAAAACTATTCATTTGGTGTTTCATCTTTTTTGGTTTTGGTTCTGGGGATTGAACTCAGGACCCGTACTTGTGAGGCAGGCAGCAGCACCACTGAGCTAAGTCCCCGGCCCATCTTAAAAATTATAATTTATAAAATATTAAATAAATATTTAATATAAATATAAATAATTTATAAAATATTAAAAATAATTTATAAAATTATAAAATATAATTTTGAGTAACCAAACATAGCTTTCTTTAATAGAGCATGGTGCACACTTTGTAATTTTTCTATTTAAAATATTCTTTGGTTTTATTTTCTACCTATTAATTTTTCTTTGGTGATGCTGGGTTTGAACTCAGGGCCTTTATACTGAATATTTTTTATTTTTGATTTTGAGATACGGCCTCCCTAACTCACTAAGCCTCCCAGGCTGAGATCCTACTTGCAGTCCTTCTGCCTCAGCCTCCCAGAGTACAGGGACTACAGGTATGCGCCACCGTACCTGGCTCTGTTAGTTTTTAGAAGCGTTGGTTGGAACAAAACTCGATGAAAGCAGTTAAGCAAACTTACTTTACCCAAACTGATTGGTGGCTGGAAAAGACGAGTCAGTCTGAAGAGATGAGGATTGGAGCAAACCTAGATTTAGTCTTAAGCTAGTCACACAAAACTTGGTGTAACACAATGTTCACCTTTACTTAGTTTTTTTGTTCTGTTATTGTTACTGGCACTGGTTATTGGTCCTTCTGATGTGTTCTCCTCTTTTTTTTTTTTTTTTAAGACAGGGTCTCACTACGTAGTTGAGATTGACCTGGAACTCACTATGTAGTCCAGGCTGGTCTTGAACCCATAGCGATCCTCCTGCCTCAGCCTCCTGAGTGCTGGGATTACAGGCGTGCACCACCACGCCCGGCTTGTTCTCCTCTTCTTAAGTTATAAAAATAGAAATATTACATGAGGGTCCCTTTCATTTATAACATATTAGTTAGGTATACTTAATACCACATTTAAATAAATTTTATTAAGAACCATAAAATATATTAATGTTAGAATACACCCCGTGGGACATTAATTAATCCTCCTGCCACCACTACAGGGCCATGCCATGAAGGGTACATTATGTATGAGAAGCAACTCCATCTCAAATGGGTCCTGGCAGTTTTGAGAGCTTGCCCTTGTGAATTTTGTTAACAGTCTTGTGGTCATGGCAAAGTGCTTTAGACAGTGACACTGCTGATGTTTGATACACACGCAGCTGTTCGAGGGGATGGGTTTTATCCCATTTTTTACACCTAGTGAAATTTACCCCAATATTCCTCTCTTTTAATGCCTGCTTTCAAGATGCCATGCAGTTATTGGTACTGGCTCCAACACAAGCTCACCAGACTCACCTTTCTGTAGCAGGATTTCAAAATAGAAGCGAAGTTCAGATATTGATTCCATGTCCCATTCCTTGGAATAATGGCTTTGGGAACTGTTATTTGAAAGCACCGTTGTTTTCTTTGTGTTGAGTTGTACTTGTGAATGTTTGTCTTTCCTAATAGGTAGCCAGACATGCCACTATACCGCTGTGGGAGGAGATTGCCAACTTTGGGCGTGTTCAGATGTTTCTCTTCTCGTTCAGTCTTGTTGCCCAGGAGAGAAAGGATTCTTCTCTCCGTTGGCTGTCAAATTTTTGTTCTCTCCCTTGGATATCCCTTACACTTGTCTCCTGGAGAGTCTGTCTCTCCCACTTGACCCTCACTTTAAACTGACTTTGGGAATGTTATCAGGCATCCTTGATGGCAGATGGAAAGCAGTGTGTTGGGGTGACTGAGAGCTAAGCCTCTGGAGCCAGTCGGCTCAGTTTCAAAGCTGGGCCCAACACTCATGAGCTCTGGGGCCTTAGGATTGAGGGCCCGACTTTGAAAATGGGATAATTTTAGTATTTATTTCATAGGATTACTTTGAGGTTTACATGAGTAAATGTGAAGTGCTTGCAGTAGGAACTTACATAGAGTAAGTGCTCAGTAAAAATTAGCGTTTATTAAATTGCCAAGGTCAGGACTCAAGCCCTCCAAGTATGTTTTGGATCCACAGACTCTAGCTATGGATCTATTCTTGTAAGAGGAGCTCTGAGCAGACCTGCTTGCATGCCACACAGACTTACCTGAATGAGGCCATGGGTATTCACGATGGCTGTTTCCTCTGCTTCCTCTCAGAGTAGGGTGGATGCATGCTGGAGAAGAATTCTCACCATAGCCGATGCATCTCACTCTTGCAAACTGATCAGCTTCTGCCCCAGAACAGGATCCACACCTCCAAGACAGCATTTCCCTTATGTTTAACTTGATCAAGATTTCCAACATTGCATCTGTGGTGGGCTCCCTCTGCTGGCCCATCTAGTATATGTGCAAGTCTGTAATAACAGCTTTTAAAAATTCAGTTTTAAAGTTTGTTGGGATCTTTGTGTAAAAACCACACTTGAAAACTTTATTTTCGATGTGAGTGATACAGAACCCGTGTATTTTGCTCTTTTTTGGCCACTTGTCTCATGAGTTGGGATGATTTCACATTTGAGTTTTTTGTTCTTATTTAGGTTGATTATGTACGGGGATTGTTGTGACATGCGGAGAAACTTCTTCACAACATGGTTATCAAGAACTGATTGTTATGTTTTATATTATAGTATGGTACTAAAACATTCTCAAGGAAAGAACACCTGTGGTGTGGAGATTTAGTTAGCTTTGAAAGTCTCCAAAGGTCATAGCCTAGAGCCCTGGAATGTTGTATTGAGAGCTTCATACATATCAGAAAATAGTACCTCAGACTTATTGGATGGTTAATTATTTATTTGGAGTTATAATCCATTGGGAAAATTGCCACAGTGCCTGTAGTGTTGCATTTAAAAATAATTCTGCCTCTTTGTGTTTTCCATATTGCTGTCTCCTGTCTTCCATCTTTTCTTCTCTGTGTTTCCTCCTAGGCTCAAACAGCATAAACCGGGTGACTACAAACATGGAAAATGGAGAAAATGAAGGAACAACTAAAATTATTGCACCTTCACCAGTAAAAAGGTCAGTGCAGTTAACTGAAGAAATACACAAACATATATACTGTCATAAAAATAATTTTCCTATTGGTGAAGTTAAGAATTTTTTCCCTTAGATAATTGACTAATATTTTTGATCCATGGGCTCTAACAGATAATCTCTGGCCCAAAGAGTATTTTAAAGTGCCAGTGAAATATAAAACACCAGGACCTGCCTTGCTCGCGGAAGGAAGTGCTCTCGCTGCCACAGCACGATGAACTTACAGCTCATCTGTGTTCTGTATTCTCAGCAGCAAAGTGAACATTCCATGTGATGTTTTTAAATGGCATGATGTAATAGACTCAGAGGGACTTGTGAAATAAAGTAGATGATGTTTATGTTTAATGTACTGTGTTCATTACAGGGGTGCACTGAGCTGTGGCCCCAGAAAGAGGATTTATAGCATTTAGAGCTGTCATCGCCACAGAAGTCCATGATTGCATGTGTATGAAGAGTTGTCATGGTCCTCTGCATCAATTTTCCCAGTGGCATTCTCCAGTGGAAAAACCTCTTAATATATTACACGGATTGTTTCCCTGAAAGATCAGCCTTGTTCTCTGTTAAGACACTGTTTCAGAGTCACTTTCTATCTCTCATTATGTTCCTAGAACAGCATTTTAGACGTACAATGAGCAGCTTTCATAAGCTCACTTTTTCTACAGCGACTGCCCCATGCACGTCACAGAGAAAGCTAAGCGATCGGAGATACGTGACCTGCAAAGACTTCTTAGATCATTTACTCCCTTTTGCTAGTAAATAATGCTGTGGTCATGCCCCTGGATTGTGGCTACTTTGAGGAATATAGTTTGTAATACCTCAGCAAGATAATTTTAAGATATGAGGATTCTATGAGTTGTGTTTTCCTAAGGGTTTTGCCTATATTCTTTTTTTCTTGTATTTCTAGGACATTTTCTTTACACATTCTCTTTTTGGAATGACAGGTTCTTTACCTTTACTTTCATTTGCTGCTCTTCCTCGAGTTGGTCTTGTGGTTGTGGAGAGATCCAGCTTCGTCTGCACGTGCAGAGTATGCTTGTGGTGTGTGCAGCCTAAGCACAGTAATCTTCCATGAAATTCATATTCCAAGCTTTTTAGAATATGCAGGAGCTCCGTTCCCTTTGCCACACATTCCTGCTGGTGGTACCTGAAGAGTCTCTGAATTCCCACTTGGGTTCTAGACGAAAAGTCGCTCGAGGAGAGAAATGCAGTTAACCTGCTACCGGAACTTTAGTTTTTAACACCCATCTCCTCTCTCGAGTCCACTTTCAACTCCCTATTTCTTTTCTTCGTTTCACATTCTTGTCTTTTCTTTCTGATTTATTAAACACAGAGACTTTCTACTGTTGTTTTGTATCTCCACCATGTTTATTACTTTTCGTCATTTTGCAAGGTGAGATTTTATTTTGGAAATTTGATCTTCAGAAGTTTTGTTTTAATTTATAAAAGGAATATATATATCTATAAAGCATACCTACTCCACTAAGTTCGAGATATATGTCTTGGTCAGGTATATAATTTTATAGGCATATATGAATGCCTGGATGGATACAGTACCCTACAGTACAAATTTAACTTTTGAAATGACCTTGTCATTTATCCTTTCTTCTCTCTGTGGGCCATTAAGAAGAACTTTGCTGCGGCTGTATTCTTGGACAGTTTATATGGATGATCCCACAAAAGGCCAAGACCCCTAAGTGGATTAAGAATTAAATAGCTCTGTCTCCTCAGCCCCCTGAGGAAGTGAGCCATGCTGCTCCTCTGTCTGCCCCGCTGGTGACTGAAGGCCTCTGCTGACTCCTTTCCTCTGTATCTCCCCATGTGTTTCTACAACAATTTGTTGGGATTAAATAACCACTGGGTTATATTTACATTCTTAGGACAGAAAGATGATCCTAGATCAGGAAATAACATGTGAAAGTCACTCTGATCTGGAAGGATGGAGCCAAGCTAGAGCGGAAGCTGGGGAAAGGTCGTGTTGGAAAGCCTGAGCCTACCCTGAGTGGACTGACTGCCGCTGACTCAGATCCAAGGCCAGAGCCAAGGAGCTGCTGACCACTGTTGCAAGGAGAGGGCCCTGTCTCCTTCATGTCTCCTTGCTTTCCTTCTGAACTCTGCACTTGCACTTGTTTTCTGTCCTGATGTAGACACTTCTGAAAGTTTCTTAAGAATCTACATACTTGGTTTCTGTTGACTTAGAGCAATAAAGCTAGAAGAAGGGAGGAGGCCCAGTGGTATTTGCTGGAAGCCGCTTCGTGTGGAATAAGTCACAGATATAAATCACACACCCTCACATACCCACACACACCTCGGTTGTTAAGAATTTTACTGAATAAACCAAACTGTGAGTTAGCTTCCTTTTATTTTCTACTTAATTTAACCTTTTCTTTTTAAATTAAAGCTTTAAAAAAGGAAAGAATGAAAACAGTCCTGATATTCAAAGAAGCAAATCTCATGCACCATGGGAAGAAAATGGCCCCCAGAGGTAAAAGGAATCATTGTATTCATTCATACAGCAGAGTAACAGGGAAGGGGTTAGCAAGTGTAACTCACTGAAGAAAGGAATCCCACAGCTGGCGGGGGTTGAGGGTGATTCTGGAAGCAGCTGGACTGAGGGAATTTCTGAAGTGGAAATCAATAGTTTCTTAACACGAGACTTTTTCCTGGAAAGACAGAAAAGAAAACTTACCACCACCTGAAAGGTCATTTTGATGGTTTAGAGTAAGACATTTCTGCAAACTCTCTCAATGATACATTAATGAAAACTTTCCCGTTTCATAGTTCTTGTAAAAACTTCCAAGTTGTCATGTTGACCATTCCTCTTACACCCCAGCGGACTGTACAACTCTCCCAGTGACCGCACTAAATCACCAAAGTTCCCCTGCCCGCGGCGCCGAGACCCTTCCTGTGGAAGCGACAATGACTCTGTGCAGCCGGTGAGGAGAAGGTACGCTGAACACAGCTCTGCCGTGTGCAGTTTCCAACATAAGCTTTGGGCCCCGTGCGCGCTTTTGTAGCAGGCGATTCTCATCGTGCTGTTACTCTTTGTCTCCTCGAGATAAGAGACCCTGAAGCACTTTTCATCTCTTAACAGCTAGAATTTTAAAGAATAATTATAGAAAATCTTGATTTGAACTTGTTTTCTGTGTCTTAACTGATACATTAAAATATATATTATAAATGAGTATGCTAGGAATATGTATAGTGTGTTTATTACATAGTATATATTAAATATTGCTGCTGGGAAGACAAAACCACATTTCAAGATAAATATTCTTAGCTGAGCCTGGGTGCTCCTGCCCTCCAGGCTGACACTGTTACATAAGCATCAGGAAAACCCCTTTTCAAGCCAGGAGGAAGTGCCTCTTGTTATACTTTACATAGCAGGTAGGAATGCATATCTAATTTTATGTGTGTGTGGGCCTAGTTATTTAAAAAGTCTTTATCTAGAAGTTATAAACTCTGCCAAGTAGACTGGGATATGTGACCGGTACAAGAAAAGAGGATGCAGAAGTGGCTTAGGGATGAAATCCTTTCTCCTGCTTCGTAAGATCTGGGTTTTGATATTGTAGAAGTGACTTTTATAATTATAAATGTTTATATGATTATGTGAGATAACTATCAAGAACTTTTCTGTGCACTGTGAGTTTGGAAGTAAAGCCCGTCTCCCTCTCACCGTCCTCTTTATTCTCCCATGTTGATACTTCCTCCTTTGTTACCTTCTAATTCTGTTGATTTCCCAGTATCTTTCTCTCTAGCATTGTCAAATTTGAGTTCAGCTTCACTGAAACCCTTTAATGGTTATGAAGAATCTACACCACTTGTACTTAGTGGGACTGAGAAGAGGAAACTTAAGTTAGGACCAGTGGTGGCTAAGATGGGACATGGGGAATAGTTGTCATCTGTTTGCTATTTACTGTGTTCTTTGCAGTATACTGTCTCACTTGGTCCGGAGAAAAACCTTCTGGGAATTGGCATTTCCAGCAGATAGGGATTAGGCAAGGATTGATACAAAGATGTGAATGGATTTAGGACACAGGAGACAGAGCATCACTACCAAGAAAGCTGGTGGCTGTTACTGCCTTTGGCCTGGGAACACCAGAGGGGAGTGTTGCCCAGAGATCGAAGCTGCTTCCATGCCGACTGGGCCTGTGCTGCTGCGTGCCCCACCACAGATGGGCAGGAACTTCTGCAAGGACCCCACTGTGGCTAACACTGTACCTCCTACTTCTCGGGAATGGCAGAGTTGATGCCACAAGTGAAATCACTTCTGCTTTTCTCCTCCCTTAACTTCTCCCCTGAGTGCTCTCTGGAACTCAGCTGGTGAGGTAGTCCAGGAGCACGGTTTTCAGGCTTCCAGACTCGGCAAGAAAGTGGAGATTTGTATGGGTCAAGATGGGGCTGATTATCAGTGAAAAGTAGTTGGCAGGTACATCATCTCACTTTTAGAGTGGAGAAAACTGAGGCTGAGAGAGATGGCAGTAACTTGTCCTTTATGGCACATCTGGGTTTGAGTCCAGGTCTAAAAGTCAAAAAAAGAGGAGGATAATGAGCTCTCAATTAAATAAGGCTCTGTTCTGGCCTTTATTTGACTTTCTCCTTGGGACACCAAGGTCTTGTTCAACCTGGGAAATGCTTAAAGCCAGGACAGCATACTGTAGAAGTACCTTGTATGTGTGTGGGTGGTATGTGGGTGTTCTGGGGGGTATACGTAGTAGAGATGACTACATATTTCAAGGACTTGGCTGAGACTGTAGTGTATGGGTTTTATAGCTTTTGTCCTTAATTATTAGTGCAATTTGTCAGCACTCCCTAAATACATTATTACACCTGTTAAGCACATAGTCATTTTGATTTTAATACATTTGAAAATGAATTTATCATGTTGTGCTAAATATGCCAAATTTATTGTTTTCCAAATGAATTGTTTGAAATTGATTGGACATATACATCCCCCATTCTGAACTTAATGACTTCTATAATGAGATACATTTTCTGCTGGCCTCCTGTGAAACACAGAGAAATAATTGTGGCCAGTTGATATAGGACTTTTTCACTGCCCTTGTCCAGGGAAATACTATCTTAATTTATTGGGCAGAGAATCTTTGCCTCAATACAATAGGGAGTCCTCTCTGTTCTCTGTGTCATTTAAAGGTCTCTTGCTGTGCATGTTCATTTGAGAAAAGCAGTCACTGCTGTCTGTTGGCATAGAGGAACCAATGTGCATTATTCTCTCTCTTTCCCCTACAAATGCCCTATAAATGTCCCTGTCCTTGTCAGCCTTGCTTTATCTTCATACACGTTTACTTTGCTTCTCGGCACAAATCTCTACATAGCTGGATTAATTCTGATATTTAAAACTGAGATTTGTCATCAGCGTGGAAGAATCCCAAGGATTTAAATTTGATAATAGGAGATTCTGGGCCGGGAATTTAGCTCAGTGGTACTATGGCTGCCCCACAAGTGCAAGGTCCTGAGTTCAATCCCTGGTTTAAAAAAAAAAAAAGATCTGTTTTGCTTTGGATACCAGGATAAACATATTTTGCAAAATATATAAAAATTTCTTGTTTTTCCAGTTTGTCGGAATGGATATAAGCTATCAAACTCTGGCTGAGCATAGAACAGTGGTGCCTAACTTCTGGGGATAGGAGTAGAACCTTTTGAGAACCTGACAAAATGTTAGGTTCACCATAACCAAAAAGGGCATGACTGAATACACACAAACATTTTCATGAGATTTTTCACGTCTTTTTGGTACCCCCAAACCTGCTTGTTTAAATATTTCTGTTCTAAGAAAAGAACAGCATGATGCTTTCTGACAGTACAATGTATTTATACCTCTCAGCTTCTATCTTTACAATCAAAAATGTTTTTGTGCCTCCTGTGTGTCAGGTGGTGTGCTAAACAAAACTATCCAAAGTCCCTGTCCTTTGGAAGCTTACAGCTATTAGGAGAGAAGTGTATGAATCACATAAATACATGTGCAACTATAACTTTGATATGTTATGTGAAGATGGTTTATCTGGTCTTAGGGAAATTTTAAAAAACTTTTTATTGAAACCCAGCATGCATACAGAAAAGTATATGTCATAAGTGTAACTAGCTGCCTGGTAGACTTACAAACCCGTCATCTGTATAATCTGTATAGTACTATTAGGGGAAGTTTGCCAAATTGCTGAGTCAAGGGAGTGGGGCCGAGGGTTCCTGAGGTTTGGTATGTGAGCTGGGATCTGAAATAAATGCCACAAAAAGAAAAGAAAGACAATGGTAGAGGTGATAGAAGGGAGTGGGGAATATTCATGAAAAGAAAAGAGCCAGTATTGCCTAAGCTCTGAGAGTTAACTAAAAAGTGTTAGAAATGAGGCCAGAGAGAAAAATGGAGCCAGTCTTTGCAGCCTAGCTAGGCCTTGTTCAGGTATTTTTCCTTAGGTCAGTAGTTTTTATAGGGGAGTACAACAACTAGATTTCATTCCTGTTTGTAAAGACGACCCTGGCTGTCCTGTGGAGAAGAGGTTAAAGAGTGTAATACTGGAAGTGGAGAGAGCAGGCAGTAGGTTGTTGTAGGAGTCCTGGTCGTGGAGAATGGTGATGTGGACACGAAGGCTATGTGAAGACACGAGGAAGTGGGTGATTTTCTGAAGCATTAGGAGGAAACAAAATCAATAGGACTGAGAGGATCAATAGGAAGGATGGAGGTCAGATAGCAAGAATGCAACACAGGCATGCACGATCTCATGAGTTCTCGTAAGATGCATGAACTAAGAATCACCAGGACATTTTATAGGCTTGAAGGGACAGCTGTGTAAAGTTTCTGATGTGTTGAATGTGTGGTACTTCAGAAGTCTGAGATTCATGTGGGTTGCTGGATTATAAATCAGGAGCGAGACTGTTTGGTTTAAAATATCAATTGTCATCAGTTAGAATTAAGGATGTTAATTGAATTATGAAGCAGGGATGAAGCTGTTTAGCCAGATGGTATAGATAGAATGCAAAGACAAAGCTCGGACAGAGCTGCAGGAAATGTCCGCAGTTGGTGGCTTAGCTGAAGAGATTAGCTGGTAAAGGAGGCACAGAAATGGTGGCCTAGGAAAAACCAAGACAGCAGAGAATCATCAAGTGGATCCTTTATTTTATTTTAGTTTTTAACCTTCTTTCTTCATTTTCAGAATGCCAAAAGCCAGGCTTCTATCTCCCACTTGTAAGGTTAGAAAATCTCACTGTTAGAAAAGCACATATACAGCCCCATGTGGTGGCACCTGAGTGTGATTCCAGCATTGTAGGAGACTGATGCAGGAGGATCAGGATTTTGAATCCAAGTGGGGGCAATTTAGTGAGACCCATCTTAAAACGGGAGGGGACTGGAATAGATGTAGCTCACTGCAGAGGACCTGAGTTCAAACCCTAGTAATGAAAAAAAAAGGAAAGTCAGTGAATAAGAATTCTTAAAGTACTGTGGCAGAATTTAAATAATCAGTGTACAGTTAGGAAAACTTAAAGAAATCTCAAAAGTAGAACACAAACAAGATATATGGAAATGAGGATAACAAAATCACAGAACCTAGATATGGAACATTCAGTTTATGAAATTCTGAATTAAAAAAGAGCAGTGAAAACATAGAAGATATTAATAGCAATGTCAGAGAAGGCAAGAAAACACTGCCTTAAACTACGAAAGATGGTTTTCCATTTAGGATTCTATGCACAGATGAACTATAATTACATGTGTAGAATAAAGACATTTTCAGAAATTTCAGGTGTCAAAATATGTATACGGTATGACTAAAAAACACAGTAATATTTACATTTTTAAAATTTTGATTATGAAAAGCCGTCGCTGTCCGTCCCCCTCACAGGACTCCCTCCTGCTTCAAATACACCTGTCCCATGCGTCTCACCATTTTCTGAAATCTTCTTCTTTTGTGTCTTTAACTGTGCTGTCACAGCTGCTTTCATGTCTTGAATTGATTTGAAACATTTACCTTTTGTGATCGCTTCCTTTGGGGAAGAAGCAGAAGTGAAACAGAGCCAGCTCCGGTGACTAAGGCCGGCCAGGACCCCCGGAATGTTTTCGCAGGTCTGCCTTTCCACTGGGAAGCACTCAGCAGTACCATTCTCCGTATTTTTCATCACACTTGGTAGACGCTTCCAAAACTGTTTCAGGAAGTGGCAGGAACAAAGGATAAGTGTGTTCAAAGTGAGGAGAAATATTTTGAGGGGGATTCATGGCAGTGTGTATTTTACTGTAATAAATTTGGGTGGAGGGTGAGACGGGGTCTCGCTATGTTTCAGGCTGGTCTCAAACTCATGGCGATCCTCCTGCCTCAGCCTCATGAGTGCTGGGATTACACGTGTGTCACCACATCTAGCCTGTAATAAATTTTAAAAAATTTAAACGTTATCATATATTTTAACCACACTTTGCACCTGCTGTGGAAGTATTCTGTTTGCAAACTGGAAGATACACTCCACAAAACCAGAACAAGGAGTCCCAGAACCCAGAAATATGGGATCTGTCATACAGAGAAACCAAAGGAGTTGCCTAGAAGGTGCTAAATCATAGCGACCTGTGTGCAGCAAGCTCAGTGCAGTTCTGAGCATTAGGGCAGAGGGACTGAGGGAGTGTACAAGTGGAACTTGTGATTAGCTGGGCATTTGTCTGAATCAGGAGGACATTTGGCAGTTCTGTTAGAGAGTATGGGCAAAGAATTACTGACAACCAAAGAAAACTAAGCAAGAGGTTAATGTACCCATAGAAGAATAGAATTCTATCCCTAGAGTGCAATTTAGATAATCTGTGAACAATATTTATATAGTCCTGTTGATGTTAAATCATTACCCCAAATTTGATATAAGGACAGGCACCACATGTCAGTGTTAGGTTGTTAGATATAAGTATATTGGGGACAACAGGAGAGCATAAGCCACAGGGGTGGCATGAAAGAGCTGTGTCCACCCTGGTCAGAGAGGGAAATGCAGCAAGGGGCTCACACATTTCTCTTAAGAAGTCTGGCTTTAATGAATGTGGACAGAGTGGGCCAAAGAGAGGGGAAGTGAGCCAAAGTAGATGTACATTGTTTAAATAAGAGAGACTTGAGAACGTTAAAATCTAACTGCAAGAGTTTGCCAGAGGGCAGGTGACTACACAGTGGTCCCAGAGGTTATCACCGGCCTGACAGATGAGCAACATGAACTAATTAGGTCAATGGAAGATTAATCTGCCTCTTGTTATCTATTGTGTGAACCCAGATAAATATCCAGATCTCAGCTGTATTGACTTAGGTACAACCAGCCCTTGCAAAGGGATTGAGTTTGTAAGTCAAGGCTCCACTGTATATGAGAGGTGGGTGCAATGTTAAGGAAGGTCATTGAGAAGACGCAAGGTGACTGGACTCTGTGGCACGGAGGCTGCCCTCAGTTAAGACAGAGCCATAAATAACAGAGCTGTTGCTAAATTTTTATTTTTGGTAGCTGGAAGATGAAAGAGTTCCATTCTTTTTCCTTTGGAAGGAGAAAGCAAAGTCATATCCTGAAAGAGAGGTGCTATGCGCCAGAGAGTTGTCAGAGGAAGAGTGAATACTACTTTGCAGAAACAGTAGTTGGTCTAGACAAAGGCGGTGAGATTGCTGAACTGTGTGTGGTCCCACTTGAGGGAACCTGGGTAGTTGGGTTCACCTGTGTGTGCTGTGTTGGGTGTTGGCATACACATAATTGAAATGGTGGGCTAGGAAATCTAAGCTGGGTAAGGCAGACAGTGAGGAAAGGTGAAGAGCTGGGAGGAAGTAGTGAGGTCAGTGGGCAGCCCTACTGGATAGGATGAGTAGAGTGAAAACAGTCGGGGAAGAAGCCGTAGTAACAGCTTTTATTGATTCAGTGCTCCTAGTGGCCCAGGCCCTACTTTGCGTTTCAATTATATTCATTCATTTGGTTCTCACAGCAGCGCTTTGTGGGTGATCCTATTAAAACCGAGGCACTCAGTAGAAAAGCGGTGTGTTTAAATCATACAGCGTGTCAGCAGAGGGCTGGGGCTCACATTCAGTTAGAGCATCGCAGGCACTGACTTGGAGGACTGCAGACTTAGAGACTGCGCACGATCCCCACCCTTGGGTATGTGAGACCAACGGGCAAGCTGTCTGTTGTTATGTGTGGCCTGTTTGCAGCCCCTCTAGGTTGCTTGCTGGCTTCTCAAGACCAGTTGGTGGCGGGCACCTTTGGGACCTGCCATAGCACGTACGTGTGTGACTTTCACGTGTGGCGAGTGAACAGGCACATTAACAGATAGGAATGAACCGAAGGGAAACTTGTTGTGGGTGCTGTGCTTCTCACCCAGCTAATCATATCTCAGTCTTAATGTCTTTTGTTTTCCACAGGAAAGCCCACAATAGTGGTGAGGACTCAGATCTAAAGCAAAGGAGGAGGTAAGACAAAAAAAAGTGGGAAGAGAGTCAGGGAAAGGGAGCAAGGACTAGCAAATTAGCTGTGTTCAGAGATAAGGCAAGAGTGAGGGCTTCTGGGGGAGATTTTTATGGCTGCTCAAAGGGTGCTGTATCATAAATCATTTTTTTCCCTCAAAAAACCAATTCCCGTTTCAGCTGGTTCTTAGTCTCCCATTCTCCCATCCTTTGACACTTCTGTTGTTTTTTTCCTGCTTGTTTGTATCTCAGAGGAACTCAATTATCTATTACTATATTATAAAATGTTCTAAAACTTGGTGGCTTAAAGCAAAAAAAATATATAGAGATACACATGGGTGTATATGTATGTATAAACACACATATAATTCTGTTGATTGAACAGAAAGTTCCTTTTAATGGTCTTTTTTTTTTTTTGGAGTCAGGGTGTCAGTATGTTGCCCTTGAACTCACTCTGTAGTCCAGGCTGGCCTCTAATTCATAGTGATCCTCCTGCCTCAGCCTCCCAAGTGCTGGGATTATGAGCATGTGCTACCACGCCCAGCTCTTTTTAAAATTTAATTGACTTGTATTAATAGATGTTTGTGATACATAATGAATATGGCCACCGTGGGGAGCTGGTACCCGGTACGTGAACATATTGCATTCAAGCTCTTCATCTAGTCTTGCTCTGGTCTCACAGGAGGCTGTGGCCAGACAGCAGGTGAGGCTTTGTTGTGGGGGCCCTCTCTCGTGTCGGGGTCTGTGCGGAATGGCTGGTGGTCTGGGACCTCCCTGTATGACCTCTCGCTGTCTCTAGCCCAGACATCTCAGTGTTGGCTGGGAGGAGGCAGAAACCTTCAATCCTGGAACCGGCAGACTGAGCCATGCACCTCATTCTGCTGTAAAACCAGTCCGAGGATGAGCGACAGTCCAAGGACAGAGGAAATACATTCCACATCTTTATTTAGGGGAGAAGGGGTGAACCAGACTTTTCTCCACAGTTAGTCCATCCCAGGGCTTATAGCTTTACCATGTGGGAGTTTTGCTGAAAGTGATTGGTTTTTGTGGTTCTTTCTGGGAACATGATGACATTTGCCTTAATCTGTTTTCATCTTGCCCTGCCTTGCTGGAGACTTATTTTCCTGAGCTGGAGACTTATTCAGGTGTCTGACTGAGTTCAGAAATGCTGCCTAGGAGAGGGACAATGCAGGTCTTTATGTTTGGATTAGTAATTTCACTGAAAAATTAATTCCAAAAACCCCAGTGAACCTTTCTGAAATTTGTTATAAACCTGGGTTTTTGTTTTGCTTTTCTTTTTTGTCTTCAGGTCACGCTCACGCTGTAACACAAGCAGTGGTAGTGAATCAGAAAATTCTAATAGAGAGCACCGGAAAAAAAGAAACAGGTAATATGGAAATGCTGTGACTCTGAAATCAGAGGCTGCCATTGGTAACAGAAGCTGTGTGTCCATACATTTGTAAACCTGGTTTTCTTATCTGTTGCAAAGGAATCTGGCACTATTTTAAAGCACTAGTTTAAGAAGCCTCAGCTTCTCTGAGTTACTTTAGGATAAGATGATTAAACAACTTGACAGGGAAGGGCCCTTCTTTTTCTTTCATACGATTCTATGTTTAGATAGAGTATATAATGAATTTAAGGCTGGTAGGGAAGTTAATCATTGGTAGAGAGATTCCTCTTGAAGTATGTTTTAACACGACATTACTGAATTTTACCCAAGGCAAAATGAGATGACATTGTTTTATAGGTCTCCCTCGTGTATATCTACATGCTAATATATTTTTACATGTATGTCAGGTACACGCAGATGAGTACATGCAGTTAATTTATATTTGTAAGATTTGTTTTTTAAGATCTTGTTAGTAAATAATTTGACATTTAATAAGTGATAGTGTTGGCCTAATACACTAATCACTTCTCCTTAGTTCCAAACTATTTATTTGAAAACAGGTATTCATGTGGGTTAATAAAAAGAGCACCATGATGCGAGTCAGAAGGAGTTGGTTGCCTTTCGTACCAATTTCAAACCCAGTGGTTCTCAACTGGGAGAGTTTTGTCTTCCCTAGCCCCTCCCTGAAGATGCTTCACAGTGTCTGTAGATGCTTATTTTCGTCATGACTGGGTGGAGGAGATTGCTCCTGACCCGGGGTAGGGCTGAGTATTCTACGAAGGAGAGGACAGCTCCACAACAAAGAAGTCCCTAGTACTGAAATGCAGTAGTAGTGCCACTGTGGAGAAACTCGTTTTCACCTCATGTACGACTCTGGCCTGCTTGCTTTACTTTTCTAGGTCGTCTTTTTCCTCTGTAAGATGAAGAAGTTGGATTAGATAATCTCTAAAGTTCTTCTTCAGTGCTTGGAGCCCATGGGCTTGGCACAGATTGGACTGTCTGCCCTCTAACTAAAAGCCTGTATAACAATAGCCCAGACAGCATTGTAAGGGTGGACCACTTTCTTAGGTACGTTTTCTATGTGGAGCCTTCTTAGGAGCTGGAATTAAGCCAGGTAGATGTGAGATCTCAGTGTGTGTGACACCTTTTTCAAGGAAGCCATTTTATTTTCTTTATCTGTAAAAATCCAATTGTGAGAGATAGCTCTCCCTCAGGTACTCTGGCCCTGCTCTGCAGTTCAGTATTTTTGCACAAAGAATGGAAAACAAAGCCAAAAATGCTTTTTCCCCCCTATTTAAAGCTTGTACTTATTGATCACACCAGTAAATGTATTTGTTTTGCTTAGTATATTCCGCATTGTGTTCATAGATGCTCTATTCTCTAGTGCTCGGAAGATAGCCTGTTTAAAACACAGTATCTTTGGGGACCAAACGTGCTCACAGTGACATTTGTTGTTAAAAATGAAACACTATTGAAAGGTTGCCACCAAGTCCTTAAATTGCTCATTACTGATCTGCCTGCACTAGCTCCAATATTCTTCCTCATTGTTTCCTCCCTCAGGAGTTTCTCCTGCACCTACATGGACAGTTTCTTAAATTGGCTTTCTCGGTGCTAGGCAGAAGTGTGTTTTAAAATGGCAGTGGCTCTGAATGTTTAAATGCGCATGCACTGTGTGAGGCTAGTAAGGGGCAATAGCTTTCAAAGCACACGCTGACACATTTCATGCAAAGGACCCAGAAAGCGTTCACAGCCATTTAATTTACCTGTAGGCATAGTTCCCTATGTGTGAGGTTGAGAGTCTGGCTCTCAGGGGCATAAGAAAGACTGGGTGAAGGAAGAAGTCTGTCTTTCTGTTCTGATCTCCACCTCTGGAGATTCTGGTGCAACAGGTGACAGGGTGTAGGGAAAGAGGCTGCAAAGCCATTACATTGCCTCTGGGAGCCGCTTCCCTACCATACTGTGCTGCTGCTAGACCTCCCGTCCGACTGTTAGCCATGTTTTGTCAGAACACATTCGTTCTACATCAGGATGCACAGGTCTGAATATTTGAACTGCAGCCCTGCTGCTGTCCCAAGATGTCTTTTGTCTGTGATGAAGGATTCTTTCCTGACATCTGACTTTGTACTTGTGCAGAAGGCTCCTCTTTTGAGGAGAGAGTGAATCTCTTCAACCTCATCCACCTTTCCTTTCCTTGGCTGCCAGTGCGGTTAGCAAGCCCTCAGCACCATCCTTTGTGCTCTCACAGAAGGACTTGGGTGGCGAGGGTGGGGCGTACAGAATCTGGGACATGCTGAGGTCCTCCTTCTTGCCAGCAGGGTCCTGGATTCAGCCTTGGATGTTCCATCACTTTCGCAGCCAGGACCGTACCTAACACACTGCTTTCCCGTCTCCCTTTGGGAAATGGTAGCCTGTGGAAAGGGGCAATTACTGGGCAAATTTGCTTTTGCAGAAACTCTGTTGAAGCCCACGATGTGTCCAGTGGAACTCCTGATAGAGTCAGTGTTCGTTTTGGAGGTTGTATATAAGTTTTGGAGTATTGTTCCCTTTGGCACTTGGTAGATTTTTGCTTTAGATAAAGGAAGTCTTTCCTTTTAGGCTTGAGTGTACTCTGTGAGAATTTTTTTTTTTTTTTGACACAAAATCAACCCCGTCGAGCTTAAGTTGCTTTACAGTTTCCCTGAGTAACAATTTAAACATGTCTTGTTTTATTTTTGTTTTTATTTTGGTACAAGGGATCAAACTCAGGACCTTGTGCTTGTAAGGTAGGCTAAATTCCCTGCCCTTAAACATGTTTTATGTGAAGAGAAACAAACGTTAATAAAGTCATGTTTGTAAATTAACTTCAACCACAGCAGGTTTTTAACTCCATTAAAAAAAGGTCAAAATTCACACCAACAATGGAAGGTTAGTACTAGAAGCAAGGATTGTTGAAGTTTGTTTTAGAAAACTCTAGCTAAAAGCATCCTTCTCTTTTGGCCTCTGTACTAATGAGGGCAGAAATATGAAGTTCTTCCCGGTGTTTCCCAGAACATGAGTCAGTCTTCTCCTTTAGTTACTGGGGACATTGTGTGATGTCTTCCCTCGTCTGTTCCATCTCAGTATTTTCTTTCTTATTTTCACAGTCTGAATGGGTATCCTCACCTCTTCTAGGTTTTGAGGTTTGAGTGGACAGTTTTCTTCTCTCTTTTTATAACCAGCTAGAAGTTGGAGCAGAGTTATTTTTACATGCAAGATGACAGTCCTGATTTTCCCTTAGGTCCCCTCTGTTATTTAGTTTCTTGTGTTTCTCTTTATATCCTGTTATTTTCCTCATCTGGTTCCCCTCGTTCTCTTTCCTACTTTTTCCTCCTTTCTTCTGTCTTCTCTAAGTTCTTTCTCTGTTGAGGAGCCAGTGGTTTGTCGTAGGATAACCCAAGGATTTGAATCTGGGTCCTGATTCTGCCATGTGTTGGTATTTAGGCCTGGGCAACTACACAAACCTTAGTTTCCTTGGTTTCTTTGGAGTGGAGGGGGACACACACGTACCAGCTGTTCCATTTTGTTGAACGAGTCCTGTACAGATTTAGTGAGCTCTTGGAAGTGACAGTATTTGGGGAGTGCAGCCTCACAGTCCTGTGCCCAGTTCTGGAATCCCTGCCTCTTCACCTGCCCTCCCTTCTCACCCTCTGGCAGGCTTTTCTGTGTTTCACCTGGTCCTGTCTGCCAGTACCTCCCACCTTTTCTAAGTTTGCACAGTTGGTTATTTTCATAGTGTGCATTCTTAGTCTAGATTCAAGGGTAGGTTTTAGGGGTCTCTCAGCTGTATGAAATTGTATATATAGGATTGTGTGTACTTCAGACACACAGTGTGACAGAGCCAGAGGCGAGTGTTTATCAGATTCCTACGCGGGTGTTTATGTAGCATCTACCGCTCGACTCCAGTCCAACTTATGTTTATTGTGCTCTGAGTAGTAAAAGAAAGGTTGATATCGAGGAAGGAACTTGGTGTTTCAATTCACTGATAGAATTAAAAGCAAAAATGTTTGAGTTTTAGAGATTACTTTGCTATACTTATTTGTGAAACAATTAATTTGATTGAATTTATCAAGTTGGGAGCCTTCCAGGTGCTGGCAGTATGCAGTTAACGATCCATGTGACTGTTAGACTGCGTTAGATTTTACTGGTTAGAATCTTGAGTCTTGTCCCTGAGATCAGGAAGATCAGTCAGTTCATCACTATAGGTCTGAGCCAATGGTCCATGACCCGGGCTTGTGCTAAAGGAGGGCCCAGGAAGCCGACTTGCCAGAGTGAAACCTTTCACAAACAAGCTTTCCCTAAAAATACCTTGAGCTTCATAAAATATTCTCCACATTCAGAGAAAGCAGCCTGCAAAATATCCTTTGTGCAATTGATGGAAATCAGCAGTCCTTTGGGTATCACTGGGGAGAATCTTTGGATTACTTAGTTGTTCGTTAGCTTTGATGTGCTGCTAGGCTGTTAAGATTTTGAAGCAGGAGATTTAGAGGAGTGGGTGACACCGAAGTAGTCTGATGTTCTTGCCTAAACATGAAAGTGAAAATAACTTGGGAGCCTAGGGAAGATTAAAAGAATAAGAGAAAGCAGGGAGGGTTGAGCAAGAGGCGTAGAGGGAATTGCAACAGGGAGCCCTCCGAACCTTTCCCTAATTTTATCCTGGGATGTTTGTGTCATAAACTCACACGTTACATGTGTGTGTGTGCGTGTGTGTGTGTGTGTGTGTGCACGCGCAAATTATGGGGCCTTTGTTGTGGATCTGACACTGCTTTGAAGAGTCCTGTAGCCATGAGCATGTTCCTCTGCCCTCTAAATCTTCTTTCTCAGTACAAGTCGGAATAATACCTTCGCTGCCTACCTCGCAGGAGGCTTGTGAAGATCCAGGAGATAACGGATGTTCTGTAAAAAGTAGAAAAATGCCCTGCGTAGGCAGGTGTATTAAATTAACGAGAACGCGTAGCAGTGCTCAGTGTTACCTGAATTCC